GGGAAATTTTTTAATTGGGGGGGGGGGGTTTTTTTTTTTTTTTAAAAAAAAAAAAAAAAAAAAAAAATCTGGTCACTCATTTGAGCGGCGGTGGGTGGGTGGGTGGATGGATAGGACAAGACAGACAACAACGTTTTCTCTGACTGATTTTATTTGTTTTTGTTTTTTTTTTCTTGGGGTGAAAAAAATCTGGTTAGCTGGCTGGCTGGTCGGTTATTTGAAATGATGCAACAAAGAAAGAATTGAATGTAGACAATGTTTTTTTAGTGGAAATATCACAATTGATGTGCAACAAAATGAAAAAATGAAAGAAAAAAAAAGTTATGTGTGTGTGTGTGTAGTGAGATAGGCTGAATTTATTCATTCATTCATTGAATATAAAATAGGCCAATTCTTTTCAGTTTCAGTTTCAGTTTGGCTTTCATCTTTCAAAGAATGTAAAATCAAATTTTTTGGAATGAACAAAAAAGCAAAAACTTTGATGTGAAAACAAAAACGAAACATACACATAGCGTTCCATATATTTTTTCGGGAATATCGAGTGAGTGAGAAATTACAGAATCAGAATATCACAGAAACATTTGAAGAATTCTCCTTCCATTCTTTTGATCGTTGTAGTCACAATAGTCGGTTTTTTTTGTTGCCTAAAATGGATGTTGCTGCTATTTGCTGCCGCATCATTTTATTGATTTGCCATTCATTCAAAATCACAATTAAGATGGCGACCACATCTTTTTGTTCGATAAGGAAGATAAATTTCATTAAAAAAAATTAAATCTTTTCGCTTCGATGACGATTTGATGAATGAGCAATATGAATTTCCGAAAACAACAACAATTCAACTATTTCGATACAAATGTGTGATCAATTGTTTGTTGCTCGTTATGACTATTTTGACATTTTCTTCAAGATGATGATGATGATGATTGATGACAATTGGATGTTGAAGGCGTTGATTGTAATGAACATGATTGATCTAAAATAATTGGAAGAAAGAGAGAATCGAGGAAGGAGGAAAAAACAAAAACAAAACAAAAAGAATCGATTAATATTGATTTTTCTTTTCTCTATTTGAAGGAAAGGAAATTGTAAAAGACAAGACAAGACAGAATGACATAACATTTTGTTTCTGATCATCATCGAACAACAACAAGAAGAAAATTGCCAGCCAGCCAGCCAACGATGATGATGATGATAATGTTCAAAAATATTCAAAAAATTTTGTGATTAAAGATGATCCATAGGTCAACAACAATCCTCATCATCCTCATCAACAACAAACTAAAATGAAATTATCGGTTTTATTCGACCAAAACAAACAAACAAACTGATAATCATTTTTGAAAAAACCAGACCCATAATATAATTGTCTTGTCTTGTCATTTTCCTGTTGGCTGTTGTTCAACAAATATGGTCGAAAACGAAAAAAATTCAAACATTCTGACATTATGTCAGAATTACGAAGGGAAAATTTATTCTATTTTAATCGAGAGAAAGAGAGAGAGAAACTACACACTACCCGAACCAATATTGGCCATCAAAACAAAACAAACAAATCGACCATCATCAGGATCGGAACAAAATAAATGTAAAATGAGCCTGACATTAAGACATTTATAAAAAAAGAAGAAAATTGTCAAAACAAAAAAACAAAATCCTCAAAGTTAATTTGATTCTGGCTTTTTTTCTGCAATGAAAATAAAAAACATTATCTGGTTTTTCGCTTGTTTGTTTGTTTGTTTCCTATATATCCAGCAAATGATTGTTGATTTTAATTGAAATTTATTTCATTTTGATCAATGGAAAAAACTGAACAAAAGTTGTTTCGAAAAAAAAATTCATCTGGAATATTGGAAATGACGAAAGCAAACCAAAAACAAACATTTTTATATTCAAAAATCAAGGTATTTGAACAAGGAAAAATTGAATTTTAATGATATTCATCAATAATAAAATGATTTTTGCTTTCTGCTGTTGATATTTTTGAGTGAAAAACAAGAAAATTTGGAAAAAAAAAATTTTTTTTCCAAAACAAACAAACAAAAAAACTGATTCGATAAATAATAAATACACAGTTCATTTTTTTCCCATATTTCCACAAAAACAAAAATTTAATTAACTCTTTCAATATTTTTCAAGTGCAATCATCATTTATTCATCAAACTGTTTTTTATCAAAAAAGGTGATGAACTAAATCACAAAAAAAATATCGATATAATCGATACTTGAAATTATGCACAACACTCGATTATATGACAAAAGTGAAAAAACTTAATGGATTTTATTTTTATTTTTATTAGGTTGGTTTAAGTGTTTTTGTTTGTTTGTTTGTTTGTGTTTCCTTTACTTTATTCAAATGGAATATTCTTTTTTATTTGTGGAAATGAATAATGAATAATGGAACAACAACAACAATGAAAAATGAAAGAATGAAAGAAAAAATATCAACCTTTACCTCCTCCGGATGATTCAAATGATAATGATGAAAGTTGATCAGGTAATTCAGCTGTTGTTAGATATGCAGAATTTTCATCCAATATATCACCTAATGCATTACGTCTACCAGTACGACCTGTATTTAAAAATTCATCATCAATATGACATCCAGATTGATCCATAGTGGTTGTTGTCACTGCTGTCGTAGTTGCCGCTGTTGAAGATGCATTTATCGATGCCATTACATTCATATTATCCTGTGATTCGGTTATGTTTGTTATACCCGAAGTTGATGGTTGTTGTTGTTGTTGTTGATCACCCATTCGTTATTAAAATGATCGAAATTTTTATCAACAACAACGATGATGGCGACGATGATGATGATGATGGCGAAATACTTGATAATGATGACATCGGAATCGAGAGAGAAAGAGAAAAAAACAAATTTGTCAAATTTCTTCTGCTGCTGCTGCTTCTGCTTGAAACGAAAACGAAAAGAAAAAATTTAATTAATTAAATTTTAACAAAAAAAGAAACAAATTTTCCTCGAATCTAAACATTCATCGGTGGTAGAAAGTAAAGAAAAGAAAAGTACAAAAGGAAAATACATTGCAGTGAAGTAAACATTTTCGTTTGTTTGCTCGTTTTCTGATTGAAACAAGATTTTTTTTTTTAACTTTTTCATTTAGAATTTTCCTCATCATTATAGTCATCGTAATCATGAATATTCAACGAAATCAATCAATCGATAATGATGATTATTTTAATTAATTAGTTTGAACCAACAAACAAAAACTAATTAAAACATTCTTGTAAATCTTTGTCATCTCTGATTACTGTGTTACGCATTTTTTTTAATTTGATTCATTCAAAATATCAAAAACAAAGGGAAAATCCTTTTTTCAAAGAAATTACCTTTTTTTAAGTAAAAAAAAAATTATCAGAAATTTTCCAAGGAAAAAAATTTATCAGAAAATTTCCCCCTTTTTGAATTTTACACTTGACAAAAACAACACTGCTGTTAATTTGATTGTTGTTGTTTTTTCACGGGAAAAATTTCTCAAACAAACAAACAAAACGCATTCGAGGATAACCTTGAAAATGTTCAGATGAAATGTTGACCGAAAAATGCTGTCAAAAAACAAAAACAAAACAAAACAAAAAATAAATAAACAACGATAATTGATTTTGCACAAACAAACAAACAAACAAACACAAACATCAAACATCAAACAGCAAACAGCAAAGATCAACACAGCACACTGAGAGAGATATGACTGATTGACTTTTTTCATATAAAAAAAAACAAAACAAAATAACTTTTTTCTCTGGACACACGAAAAAACAAAACAAAAATCAATATTGCAACAAAACAAACAATTTCCAGTGATGACGATTCGAATTTGCAAAAAGGAAATGGATATATTTTTTTCGAAAGAAACTGTAAAACAAAAAAATTTCAGAATAAAACCAGCCAAACAAACAAAATTATTTTACACACATTCAAAATGACGTAGGTGATTTTTTTTTCTGGTTTGGTTTGCTGTTTTCACATTGTTATTATTTTTACAATGATATCATCGTCGTCATTATCAAATGATGATAATGATGATGATGAAAATAAATTAATAAATTAGAAATTTTCATTGGAAAAAAAATTGATTCAATTTGATTTGATTTTTGTGGGAAATCGTGATTTCGAATGAAATGATTTGATGATGATTTGATTTTCTAGACAAACATTGGTTAATGATGATTAGCAGGAATAATTTTTTTTTTGATTGTTTTTTTTTGCTTTTGTTTTACGGGAACAAAAGCAAAAAATTAATGAAAAATCATCATTCGAATCGATTTGGTTGAATTGAAAATGATCAAATTCAATCGATAAAGTTCATGAAGTAAACACACGAAATGGATGCCGGATGGTTAGAAAATTTCTTTCTTTTTCGTTCAAAAAAAAAAAAAAGAAATTGCAAAAAAAAATTGAAAAGTTTTTCGAAAGAGAAAAAAATCACACAGGCAGACAGAAACAGAAACAGAATTGAGAAAAGAATATGTGTGCACAACAATACAAACACAAGCCAAAACATTGAATGAAAAAAAAAAATATTGAATTCAGATTCTGGTGTGTTAAAATAGCAAGTAGAAAAAAAATTGCAAATTTACAACCACTACCACAAAACTATCATAGATAGAGAAACAAAGAAGTAATAATAAAAAAAATATCGACAAACACTAACCAACCAACCAACTTGAATTGGCCAAAACCAGGAACAAAAAAGAAGAAGGAGAAAAAAATCTGGTTATATCCTTTTCAGTTTTAACGTTGTGTGCGTGAATAGGGAAATTTTTGTTTTCTTTTTTCTTCGGTTTTTTGCATAGAGATTAAATATTCGATTCTTTTTTATGATTAACATTATTTATGATCAAAATCCTACCTTATTTCTTTTTATTTATCCACAGACACATTGCATTATGCAATAATAAATTCTTTGTGAGAATTTATTATTGATAATAATGACGACAACAGCACAGAATATCTCTATATTCAACAAAAAAAACGAGAATAAGAAATTCTGTGTGTGCGGGAGAGGGGAAGGTTTTGTGTGTTAGAATAACAAATGACATTTCAATGCGCACAATGTTGCTTATACATATATAAAAATAGCCAAAATCAAACTTGAAAAGAAACTTTTTTTTCTCATTGATTCACTGGCTATATTGGATTCTTTCTTATCATCCTCATCATATATAACCAATGGAATAAAAAAAAGAAGAATCCGAATAGATTTTTTTTTGGCAGAAATCTTCTTTGGTAGAATGACGTCAGTGATGCTACTAGCAGCAAAGTTTTTTTGCTTTCAAAAAAATTCAAATTTTTTCATTATCAAGCGTCATTTGGATAGATTGTAAAAATGATTGAATGAAAAGTAATGTCGTCATTTCATTTCATTCTATTGATATTATCATCATCATGATGGTTGTAATTTTTTGAAGAAAAAAAAGGTAATATACGATATATAATAGGTGTGTGAGCGTGGGTGGAAGGTTTGAATGAATTTATCAATATAGACAGATAGATAGATAGAGAGTTTATCATTGATTAATTGATTGATTGATTGACTTGGCTTGAATCGTTGTTATTCGTTGTTTTGCGTTTGTTTTTCACGTTGATTAAAACTTATCGATTTTTTTGTTCGGCTGATGTTTCTCTCTCGACAAATTTCTACAACAATAATCACACATTGAAATAAACAAATATTCGATTAGTATTCGATTATCAACTTATCATCATTATCAACCGAAAATATATCGATAGATATCTATATAGGCATAAATGTAATTATAATAATTATCATATAAATTGAATAGGATTCGATTTGAATGTTTGATGATGATGATGATGATGATGATGATGATAAGATCGATTGATATGAAACGAGAAGAACTTGTTAGGAAAATCTAATTTATTTAATGGCAAATAATCGTTATGCAAGAAAAAATACAAAAAACAAAAACCGAAAATCAATAATGGTATCATCATCGACGACGACAACATTATTATTAGAGAAGTGTTTTTCTTTTTCACTTTTCTTTTTTGGAAACAAAAATCGAATCGAAAATTATGACATTTGAATGGAATGGATTCGAATTCGAATGTTTTTTTTTCTTTCTTCGTTTAGTTTCATTGACAGTAATCAATAGAATGTTCACGAATACTTACCAGTGACAGAAAAAAATGCAATGTTTGCTGTTTTAATTGTTGATTGTCGATCATAAAAATTTTCAAAATTAAAGAATTTTCTTCAGAAATTTTTTTTCTCTCAAGTTCATCATCACATGTTGTTGTTGATGATGATTATGATTATGATAAACACAATACTTATGGCGCCATCTTTTGAATGTCCAAAAAAAAACCGATAGCCATCGGCTAAATTATTTCAAAGATAATAGATGGCGTTTCAATCAGGAAAATTTTTTTCCAAAACAAAAAACGCGGAAGTAATTTGACAACAACAAAAAACATCTCAAATTTCAGTAGTTTTTTTGTTTTCTTTGAAAAAATTTGTTTTTTATTTATTTATTTAATTATATATAGATGAAGACAACAACAGAGAAAGAGAGAAAAAAATAGAATCTTTGTTTTACTATAGTAGAAAATATGTAATGTGATATAACAGTGTTGTTTACATTCGTTTATTACCGAGAAAAGAGAGAGAGAGAGAGAGAGAGAAATGGAGATAATATTTGGGATTTTGTTTGACAGAGGCGTTGTTTGATGGAGAAATGATGGTGACATAAATCAATCAATCAAACAAAATCAAAAAATGATAAAAGATATTTTGTACAGAAAGCAGGGAAACAAAAACCACCGGCATCTTATAATGGCCAAAATTCATTTCCAACAATTTTTTTTTCCAATCCACCCACCATTGTGTGTTGAGTAAGGTATTTTCGCAGAAAATAAATTTGTTTTCAACAAAAAATTAGATTTGATCTTAATGAAACCAAACAAAAAAAACAAAAAAAATCTGATGATAATCCAAAGAATCTTATATGAAAAAATAATGAGCTTTTTTGAAAGAAACTTGCAAATTCCGGCTAAATACACCCACACACGACCAGTTAGATCAATGTTGACNATTGTTGATTGTCGATCATAAAAATTTTCAAAATTAAAGAATTTTCTTCAGAAATTTTTTTTCTCTCAAGTTCATCATCACATGTTGTTGTTGATGATGATTATGATTATGATAAACACAATACTTATGGCGCCATCTTTTGAATGTCCAAAAAAAAACCGATAGCCATCGGCTAAATTATTTCAAACATAATAGATGGCGTTTTAATCAGAAAAAAATTTTTCAAATAAAAAAAACGCGGAAGTAATTTGACAACAATGAAAACATCTCAAATTTCAGTAGTTTTTATTTTTTTCATTTAAAAAAAAGATTTGTTGTAATGTGATATAACAAACAGTGTTGTTTACATTCGTTTATTACCGAGAAGAGAGAGAGAGAAATGGAGATAATATATATTTGGGATTTTGTTTTTTGTTTGACAGAGGCGTTTGTTTGATGTGGAAAAGTGGATGACATAAATCAATCAATCAAATCAAAATCAAAAAAATGATAAAAGAGATATTTTGTACAGAAAGCAAAGAAAAAAAAACCATCGGCATCTTTATAATGGCCAACAATTTCATTTCCAACAATTTTTGTTTTCCAATCCACCCACCATTGAGTAAGGTATTTTCGCAGAAAAAAATAAATTTGTTTTTTTCGACAAAAAAATTAGACATGATCTTAATATGAAACCAAACAACAAAAAAATGATGATAATCCAAAGAATCTTATATGAAAAAATAATGAGCTTTTTTGAAAGAAACTTGCAAATTCCGGCAAAATACACCCACACACACACACACACACGACCAGTTAGATCAATGTTGACGCACTTTTGTGATTCGAATGAATTGATTGAAACCAGAAAAAAAAATTTTAAAAAAATGAAAATTCCGTCAAATGATTAACAGTCTTTGTTGGTGTTGTCGGTGTCAATGTAGATTGTAAATGATGATGATGATTATTAAGATTATTATTATTATTTCCCAATAAATTTATTGATAATGGTGATGAATTGGATGATGATGATTCATCATCACAATCTCCACAACCACCACCGCCGCTACAACCGCCACTACCATAATTAGATGATGATGATGTTAATGATTCACTAATCGATGTTGAACGATTACGATTATCCATTTGATCAATATTAGTGGTATTATTAATCTGTATTGGTTTACTATTTGATGATAAATTCGTTGTTGGACTTGCCAATTGACTATTATTACCACTTCCCGTATTTTGATTCGAACCATGTAATGATGATGTTGTTGTTGTTGGTGTTGTTGAAATAGCTGGACTATTTAATACTTCATTTAATGCATTAACAAATACATTATGACTTTCCGATATTGAATTTGTATGCTGTAATCGTAATGCTTTGAATGAATGTAATGATACTTGTGCCTAAAGAGAATCAATAAATAATGAAAAAAGTAAACAAGAATTATTCATCTGTCAATAATATGAAAAAAGTAAAAGTAAATCCCAAAAAAAAACATAAACAGAATAAATCGTCATATGATTTATCAACAAAGAATCATTCTGAACATTTCTGAAATAAAAAAAATACTTCCTTAACACAAAATATGCTTTAATCTTTGCGGTTTAGCTTTGAAACGAACATATGATGGTTCATCAACCGATTAATATCTCAAATGTGTGTGGTTTGTTGTTTTTGATATTATCGTTACAAAACAGCAAAACAGCAACAACGATTGTGTAATCATCAACAAAAGTTCATCATTTTTTTTTTGGAAAACAACCAAACCAGATGATCTAAGAATAACTATCATCAAAGGATCATTAATTTTATGAAATAAAATTCCGGTATTTTTGTTTGTTTGTTTGTTTGAGAAAAGCGAAAACATTAATCTTTTTAAAATTCGAATCAACAGTGTAAAATAGAATCAAATGAACGAATCTCGAAAATTCTGCTATCGATACAATCGATAATTTTAAAAAAAATGTTCTTTTCAGCATCGAAAAACAAAAAACAAAACAAAACAAACGATGTAAATGTAAAACACCGAAATTCTAATTTAATCTGATTTTATGGTAAATGTAAATATATAAATCACGAGATGATCCTGTTACCAATCAAATACTTTTTTTTCAATATTCATCAGATCAGATAACTTTTACTATGTCGGCGTCATCATTATTTTTCAACGATAATAAAAATCCGACGATACGATTGTCAAATAGGATTTTTTAACAACTTGAAATCAATAATAATAAAGCGGTAATGTTACTTATTGATTAAACATCCAATTAATGAGAGACAAAAAAAAATGGATACATTTGATTTATCATCATCATCATCATTGACTTTGACTTTTACTTTCGTTTCTAACAAAGGGTTTATTGAAAATTTCTTTTGCACTGAAAAATAAAATCAATCGATTTTTTTTTTCGGAAAAAATGATGAAAAACAAACTGATCCGATTGATAACGACAAAAAAAACAAAAAACCAATTGAAAACTGATTCAATCACATATGTGTCAATCATTTCTTCTTTTCTAAAATCAATCAATCAATAATGATCGATTTTTTTTTTTTGGTTGAAAATAGCATTCTTTAATGTAATAAAATCATCATCATTATCATCAATATTATCAATTACCTGATCACTCCAACGTTGTCCATATTTCCATTCGGTAACATAATGTTCTGTATTACATTGTAATGCATTATATGGTACGGTTGTGCCAACCTAAAAACCAAAAAAAAAAAAAACCCAATCAACCCAGGTGTACACAAAAATAGAAATAGAAACAAAACAAAAAAATCATAATTAAATTAGTCATAGGATTATAAAACAACAACAACAATAATAATAATAATGGTTAGCAACAGAAGTCGACTTTCAAATGGATCTTATCAATCTGTTGATTGATTGATTTTTTTGCTAATTAATTCTGACTAACTAAAATTACGTCATCCGAAAAAAAACAAAACAAAGGTTTTTTTCTCGAATCAATCTTTGCTGCTGTCCCTGTGTGGTAAAGTTTTTTGTTTTGTTGAAAAAAATGTACATTTTCGAAGAAAAAATCCTGTGTTAAAAAAGCGTTATTATGAGGGTTTCGTGTTTTTTTTTTATATAACAAAAAACTTGGCCACAATCATCATGTGATACCAATGTTGTCGTTGTATTATTAGCATCACACTTGATGATTGTTGACTGGCTGGCTGGCTAGATGGATTGATGGATGGATGGATGGTTGTTGCCAAGAAAACACACACACACACACACACACACACCAAGCACGGTTATAGCAACAAACAAAAAAAACACTTATCAGATGATAATGATGATGAAAATCAAACATCAAAAATCAAAAATCATTGATCAAATCAAACACAACAGGTAAAATACTACTAATTCAGGTGACAAATGTTTATCAGGTGCAATGATCGATTTTTGTTTTGGTTTTTTGAAAAAAAATTTGTTTGCAATCGACAAACGAAAAAAAAAATACAAATTTGTCACACACGTATGTTACATATGGTAAACATTCAGGATTTTTGTTTTCCAGTTTGAAATTCTTTTTTTTTCTATGGTGGCAAAAATTCTGCAAGATTTGCTTGAATGAAACTTGTCAGATCAAGGTTTTCTTTCTTTCTTTCTTTGTTTTTTGGCACGTGTTCTTAGCGATTAATGTTTGTTTTTTTTCATCGAAAATGACGCAAAAAATTCTCTCTCTAATCAAGCAAGAAGAAACAAACAAAAATTCTTGGCTAAGTTTTACACTTTTTTTTTTGTTTGACAATAATAATGTGACAACAACGTTCATTTCAATCACCGTCATCGTCTTTTTCATTATCAAGTTTTTTGCAGTTTTTTGAAATTCTGTTTGGGAAAAAAAGAATTCACAGTATAGGCTGTGTCATTTATAGAGGGAGAGAGAGAGAGAGAAATAAATTCTGTACATTTTAAACGATCAGAAAATTAAATTAAAAAAACAGGCAATAAATTTCAGTTGACTTTTCGCTCCATTCGCTGTTGTTGATTGCTATCCAATCAAAACTACGATTCCGTTTTTAAAATGATTGATTGATTGGAATCATTCGCGTCAACCAGGTTAAATTCGCTCATCTAAGATAGAAAAAAAAAGATAGAAACCTAACCACCTACACATTTGATTTGAAAAGTACATCTCAACTTAACACGTGTGTGCTTCAAATATTGGAGAATTCTATTAGGAATATTTTTATTATTATTTTCCTGCAGTAAATCAAGCAAGCAAACAACATGAACAACAACAACAAATAAAAAAACCTTGAAAGATTCCCTTTTTTTTAATTCAATTCAAGTTTTTTCGTTTCTTCCACATATCAAATCAAATCAAATCAAACAAACACACATAGAGAAACATGCACATTATTCATTGATTGAATGTATATATAGTATTTGTGTGTGTGAATTTACAACAACAACAACAAGATATTACATAGAAACTCTCTCTGTGTCCGTTTGTGTGTTCAGAAAAGCAATACTTTTTGTGCAAAATGAAATTAAGAGAATATTAAAAAAAACTGAAGTAAAGATAAAGAGAGAGAGTCTATATATAGAAAGTGTACAGAGAATCCTGAAAAAACTAAAACTAAACAAAATGAAAATGAAAATCCTTTTTTGTTTCATTAGTTCCAATTTACAGGAACAAAAACAAAAAAGCCATCATCATGTGATCCCCTCCAAAAAAAACATGGCTCCTGCGTATTTTGTTGTTTTTTTGGATTAAAAATATTGATTTTTTCGGAAGCTAGAATTCAGCTGAAATTGGATTCTTTACAAAATTAATAAGAATGATGATTATGAAAGATCGCGTAGGAAGAAAATAAAAACAAAACAAAACATACCTTTGAAAGTGCTTTTCTAACAACAATTTCATTATTAAATGGTAATAGATTACGTTCTTTAGCACGATGAAATTTATTATTTACACGACAATAATGATCACCGGCAACAATATTTAATGGTACAAGTTCAACATGTGCAATTTCAACATCAGGTACCATTTGAATGGAATTACCATTACCGCCAACAATCACAACAACATTACCATCACCAACATAAATACCCCATTGTGAAAATAATGTACGATCAAATTCAATTATATCACCTGGTTCGGGATGTAATTCGGATGCAGGCCTAAATGGATATAAATGTAATGTATTTGGTGGTACATCAATTGCTGTTATTGTTTGATTATAATCCATTATAATTAATTCATTTGGTTGTTGAAAATTTTCCTGATCAAAACTTGTTGATTTTATTCTTGTTGTCGGTGATGTGGATAATAAATTTGTTGATGTAGTCATTGTTGATGCATTTGTCGTTGATGATGGACATGATGAAAAACTTCGTAATGCTCGTATGCGTTGTTTTGCCGTGGTTGTTGTTGAATCAGTTTTTGCACCAGTTTGGGCTGATGATGATGATAATTTTGTTCCATCATCATCATTATCATTATGATGAGATTCTAATGAATTTGTCATTGTTGTTTGAGATAAATTCATTGATGTTGATATTCTCATTATAGATGAACAAGGTTTGGGTTTTTTTCACTTTTTAAACAACAAAAACTTTTTCCAAAAAAAAAAATCCAATTGAACAAAACAAGAAGAAAATCCATCCAACAAAACACAATTCTAATCAATGAAATAAACCAGAAAACAACGATGCTTTACCGAAAAACATTTCGCATACGAGAAAATGTATTTTTCACAATTTTTTTTCGACAAAGTCTTTATCGTCGTTATTTCACAAAAAATCAATGTTTGTTTGTCGTTGTTGTTGCTGTTTGCGTGAATGTGATGATATAAATTGATTTCGACAAAAACACAGCCAACAAAAACCACCATCCTCATATATTTACTACCATTATCATTATCAACATATAACAGACGATTGATGGTGGTGAGGAAAATAACTAACTAAATAAAATAATTTTACTTTGATGCCATAATGAAAAAAAAGTGAGAATTTTTCTTTTTAGTTAGTTTGCTATGGATTTTATACCTTATCCAAATGATGATGATAATTGTGCGCATGGATTTTTTTTTGAAAAAAACAACAAAAAAGATTGATTTGATGCTAAACGCAAACGCCATATAAACATTGATTATGATGCTAAACGCAAACGCCATTGATGATATCCATATATCAATCTTTTCTATGATTCTGGATTTGATTAGAAATTCTTTGCAGGTAGTTTTTTTTCAGATGATGAAAAAAATTCTCAAAGAATTCCGAATTCCAACCATTTTTTTTTTGGTCAAAAGATTCTGATTCTGGAATTTGACCCGATTTTTTTTCACTGACTTTATATTTTTCCTTGAACCTTGATAGGCAACTTTTTCCGTTTAACTATACGGATTTCAAGGACAATTTTCAATGTTTTCAATGTATCATCATCGTTGTTTGAATTCTTTCGACCACTGCGTTTGCGTAATCAAAGAATTTTTTTTTTTTGGAAAAACAAAAAAATAAAGATTCATAAGGAATATGGAAGCATATTCGTCTGGATGGAAAAAAAAGGCTATTTCCCTCTTGTACTCTATACGTACATTTTGCATACAAAAAAAAAAAAAAAAAAAAAAAAAAAAAAAAAAATTTTTTTAAAGAAAAAAAAAAAAAAACCCAAAAAACCCAAAAAAAG